CAAAAATCAGGACTGTCCCTATAAAATCGGGACATCTGGTCACCCTAGAAGTCACTGGCAAGACTCCTATGGGTTCAATGGGAACGAACTAGACAGGAAACCACCTGGAAGTCAGCACAGGTCACTGCTGTACAAGCCCCCGGGAGAGATCACTTTTCCCCTCTGGGTGGTGAGTAGGCAGCATTCCAACCCCACTCTGGTGGCACCAGGACCCAGGTGGTACCTCCCCTCCACCCTTCCCATCGCTCTAGTAAATCCATCCCCTCGAGAGGCAGTAGCGTGGTTGTTGTATCCACCAGGCAAGGTATTAACAAACTTCAACAGAACTTGATTTACAGCGGAAATCTCTTTACCAAGCTGTAGCTGCACCCTCTGTAACTCTCCCAGCCTCCTCAACTCCTCCCCCCTCCTTCCTGTTTCCTGTCCTTTCAGACTCCCAACAGCCAGTGCTCCCGGTTCTAATAATCACATGCAGCATCGAAACACCACAGTGGTGGACAGAAGAATCCTTCTGTCAGCCTAGCGGTGTCTACACCAGGGCACAGGTCGGCTTCGCTCTGACGCTCAGGGGCATGAAGTTGGCACGTCCCTGAGCAAGGTAGCTAGACCGACCTAAGTTTCTGGTGTATGCCAGGCCCGAGTCCCTCATCCCCCCTCAGTCTTTTCACTCCACCCCTAGCCTCTGATCCCCGCCCTATCCACCTCCCCATCCCCTTTCCAGTTAGCTGATCCCCTCCTACCTAAACCCACCCAAGCAGTACAGAAATCATGCCGTTTGCTGCCATCTGCTGGCCTGTCCTACCCCTTCCCCTCCGGGTCTGCCTGGCCCATTTGGGTTGTTAGCTCTTCCAAGCTGCGGCTCTCTGCTACTCTTTGTTCAGCGCCTAGCCCCGTTCTTGGCTGGTCCCAAGGCACTATCCAGTGCAGGCCAGGACGGAGGTGCACTGGCAGACCTCCAGACCGTAATCATAATCATCAGCATAAATACGATCCCAAGAATGTTCCTTCCCCTGCAAAGCCGCCGCTGGCTTGCAGCAGCAGTTTGCAAAATGCATTTGGCTCGTCCTGGTGCTGTCTGGCTCAACATGTGGCCTGGTGAAAGCCCAGGTCCAGGACAGATCCTTTCCAGCAGGCACTAGTCGCTTTCACTCAGACAGCTGGCCCGGGCCTAAGATGGATGTCTTTTCAGAATTCACTGATCATGAAACCCAGCCCAGAGAGCTGACTTCTCCTTGGAAATAGGCTGGCTTGGCGGCAAGGAGGTTTCCGTCCGGATTCCAGGAAGAAACCAGGGACACCTCGGCCAGGAAAGTTCTGTTCTGCTGGCAGGGAGAAAGGTTTGCTTCAAAGCAACCGAGGCACAGAGCCCCGGTTCCCAAGCTGGCCTGCGATTTAGCACCCAGAGGTGTTCCTGTGGGAGTCCTTCAGGGGTGCAGATAATGGCATCTCGGTGTCCGGGCACCAGCCCACTCCTGCAATCGGATTCGTACACTTACACTCCAAAGTTGGAGGCCCCTTTCAAAACCTGGGCCCCGGCTCTGCACTTGCACTAGTTGCTTTGCATCCGGATAAGTGAGACCAGACTCGGACCCGTGGTCATTCAGATCTTAAGGACAAATAATCCACAAGTCCTTATGCTGGTTTTGCTCGGGCAAAATGTCCGTTGACGTTCACGGGCCTGAACCAGAGAGGTGCCGAGCACCCCAGGGAGCCAGCGGGCTAGGCCCAGGGACAGTTTTCCCTGAGTGAGAGCAGCCTGGGTCCCAGCCTTTGCTCCCCATGCTGACCCAGCGCGCGCAGGGTGGCTGATCAGCAATAGGATCACAAATCCTCCGCTCTCATCAGAAGAAGCGAATTGCCGGCGACCTTTGCTGCGCCTTCCCGTCATCCCACTAGCTCGCGCGCTCCTCCTCCTCCTCACAAAGACGCTCGCTTCCCGGAAACGCCTGGACCTGCCTGGTGCAGCCTTCTCCTTCCTGCCTCTCAGCGAGCGGTTCCCAGGGCAGCAGGGCGGGCAAGTGCCCGTGGCTTCAGAACCAGGCGAGCCCCGAAGCTCAGCCCAAACAGGTCTTTGGCTGGAGCAGGATTGAAGGAGGGGGGAAGGTTCATTCTTTGGAAGGGGAAGTGAACAACTGCCCTGCTGTTGGTCAGGAGGATGCTAGCTGGGTTCCTTAGACTCATGCTGTCCACGTCTCTGGACACCCGGGCCCAGAGCCTCATCTGGTGTAAGCTGGTGTAGCTCCATTGAAGTCAGTGGAGTTAGGCCAAGTTACACCAGCTGAGGATCTAGGCCATTACTTTCAGGTGCTGCTGTGGGAGGCAGCATGGGCTAACTGTTAGCACGAGGGGCCTGTAAGCCACAACTGCCAGGGTCTTGTCCAAGCTCTGCCACCGACGTGTCATATAACCCTGGTCACGTCACTTAACCTTAGTTTCTCCCTTTGTCAAACAGCGATAATGATACTCACGCACTTTGGGAAGTGCTCTGAGATCTCTCGATTTAAGAATGCCACACAAGTGCTAGGTGTGAGTGAAAATCAGTGCACCAGCCAGGGACGTATGACCTGCACCAGCACGGAGAGCAGTCCCCAGGCAAGGAGCGCCGACGGCTAGAAGCACTCAGAAAATCCCCTCAGAGCTCACTCTGGACTCAGATGCTCTCCCGGACCAGCCAACGTGCGACACAAGAGCTGGAGGGACAGGGCAGCCGGGGGGTGTGATGACAGCTGGGAGCCCAAACTCCTCCAGCCCTTTCCTCCCCGCAGATCTCAGCTCATGCAGCAGCCCCCTACCCGCCCTCCCCTCTCCCTGCCGCCCTGTCCAGAGGAGGTATCCGGTTCCTGGTGCCTCGGGGGCACGTCCCTGCTGGTACCTGTGTCCTGGGTGACTTGGCTGAGGAGCCCGATCTTCTTGAGATGGCCGGGGGTGGAGACCGACAGGCTCATGACGTCGCCGATGGCCTCGTGGAAGCCGGGGTTGGCCCCGCTGCGGAAGGTGACTGGCTGGTCCTTGTACTGCAGGTAGTACTCGACGTGGCCCATCTCGTGGTGCACCGTGAAGAGCTGCTCCATGGTGACCGTAGTGCACTGCTTGATCCTGCAGGGCGAGGGGCAGAGTCCTGTCCACACGCGCCCTTTGACCTGCCCGCTCCCCCCTGCTGGGATACACTCAGCCCCGGCAGGGAGCCTGCTAGCCCCTGGCAGGTGGGAAGCAACATACTCGGTGGGGCAGGGAGAGTCAGCAGCCCACACAGCCCCCCGCCCCCGCTGGGAACACCCTCCTATTGCTCTCTCCTAGCTCCGGATGCTCACAGCAGCACAGAAGGGACCCTAGGGTGCTGGGGAGGGTCAGTGCAAAGCGGGACTCCGGCAGGTGGTGTCGGCGGAGAGGGGAGAACACGGGCTGCCAAGCTAAGGCAATGGCTACGCTACAGCCCCCGAGCGTGGACACGGCGTACGCTGGCGGGAGGAGGAGTTCTGCCGGGATGGGAACACGTTAGCTATGCAGGCAGAAGCCCCCCATAGCTGCATCTCTGCTGGGGGGGTTGCTGGCATGGTTACATGGCTAGGAGGTGCGGGGTGTGTGTGTCACCCTCGGGGGTTTGCTGGCATGGTTATGTGGCTAGGAGATGTGTGTGGGGGGGGGAATCACCCTCGGGTTGCTGTCATGGTTATGTGGCTAGGAGGTTCGGGGGGGTCACACTGGGGGGTTTGCTGGCATGGTTACGTGGCTAGGCGGTGTGTGTGGGGGGGTCACACTGGGGATTGAGAGCATGGTTATGTGGCTAGGAGGTGCAGGGGGGTCACCTTTGGGGTGTTGCTGGCATGGTTATGTGGCTAGGAGGTTCGGGGGGGTAACACTGGGGGGTTTGCTGGCATGGTTACGTGGCTAGGCGGTGCGTGAGGGGTCACACTGGGGGTTGAGAGCATGGTTACGTGGCTAGGAGGTGC